AGAGTCCTCCGTTCATCCATCCATCATCTCTCTATTTACCCATCTAATCTATCATTGGTATAGACGCATAGATTCTTATTTTCCCTATTTTCTATAATTCAGTGTTGTCCTTAATTGTTTTGTGCTCAAATTGTTTCAAATTTGGCCAGTGGGAGCTCCTTAGGTGTCTTTTTGACACGCCCCATCTTTTTTTTTTTTTTTTTTTTTTTTTTGAGTACCTCCATCTTCTGATATAAAAATCATGCTCCTGGCTCATCTTGTCCTCTTCCCTGCTCCAGCTCTGAAACCAGTGGTTTCTCCATGGACTTCTGCTTCCTTTTAGTAGGGAATGGTATTTGAGGCCAAGATTGGGCACTAGGTATGATCATTGCTACCTGGGTATCTTTGCTTATAGGCCTTTTACGTGGATAAGAAAAGGAAATATATGCATATATATACATATATACATTGTACATATACATATGCAAGCATATGTACACTTGCAAACACATGTATATTTGTGCATGTTTTATAAATCTTCAGTCCATATCAGTAACTCCAATTTAATACATCCCATAGGATCCACCTTGCTTTTCCCTTTTCATTTTTTGTATGTTCCTACTTCCCCATTGAGAACCCTAGCTCTCAACAATATCAACACATTTACTCATCTATAACTCATATAAAATATATTTATTTACTCATATCTAATATATATATAATGCAAATATACTTATATAGATGGTTGTATATAACATATAACAATATTATATATATCATATAAATATATATACATGTACTTACCTATAATACATCTAAAATAGATTCAGGATTGCTTTGCCCAGACCTCTACAAAAACAAGCCTACTAGAAAAGGTTCAGGATTCGCTTGCTGTTTTCCCCCATCCCAACCAAGACTGAGAAATATTTATAGTCCAATTCTATGTTTGTAAATTACTTGGATTAGTTGGCTCTTTTTTCCCCTCTTCAGTGTGGCTATGTTATTCATTTAGATACTGTTATAATCATTTATTTGGTTGCTTTTAGTTTTAGTAACTCCTTCCTGTCCTCGATTTAATTTTGTTTTGATCATGTAGACCACGTTTTCAAAAGTCAACACTATATAAAACAGGATCCAGGAAAGTGTCACTCCATTCTGAATTCCTTCTTATTCCCTCTGCCACCCTCTCTTAGAGCTGTCGTTTTCTGTTTAACCTTTCTGAGTTTCCTTTTGGACAGATAAGTGGCTTTAGGCATGTTTTCTTATTTCTCCCTCTTACGCAAAAGTTAGCATACTACAGATGCTATTCTGCAGTTTGATTTTTCCACTTAAGAATATCTCTTGGGAATTACTCCCTACCAATTCAAAGAGATCTTTCTCTTCTCTCTTTACAGATGCAAATTGCCCCATCATGACTATTTACCATAGTTTATTTAACTGATCACCTATGCTTGGATATCTTGTTTCTAATATTTTGCAACTGCAAATAATGCTGCAGTGAATAACCTTGTGAAATGTTTTTTTTTTTTTTTTTTTAATATTATTGGAGTTGTGCCTTCAGAGTTAATACCCAGAAGTGTGATTGGCAGGTCAAAGTGTAAATGCAGATGAAGTTTGTGGACAATGCCAAATTCCTCTCCATAGGGGTTACATGATTTTGCATTCTCAGTGAGAAAGCAATGTGTGAGTACCTGTATTCCCTCATGTCCTTGCCAAAACAGTGCCATCATAAGCTTTTGAATTTTTGCCAAACTGATGGGTGAGAAATGGTGTCTCAATGTTATTTTAATTTGCGTTTTTTTAATTATGAGTGAAACTGAATATTTTCTCATATGTTTAAGGTTAATTTTTATTACACTTTTTTTTGAATTGTCTGTGGACATCTTTTGCCCATTTACTAATAGGATTTAAACATGTTTAAAGTTGTTTATTTGGAAAAATTGTTTTTAATACAGTTTACACTAATCGAAGGTAGAATCCCAAAGTACCTGCTATGGATAAGCTATGGCTTCTGCCCTCTAGGAACTCACAGTGTATATACTGAGCACTGTCATAGTGGGTCCAAACATAGACTCTGGAACCAGACCGTCTGCCTTCAAATGCCAGTCCTGCCACTTGGCCATGTGTGTGTGTGTGTGTGTGTTTTAAGATTTTATTTATTTATTTGAGAGAGAGGGAAAGCAGCAGAGGGAAAGAGAGAGAAGCAGGCTCCCCACTGAGCAGGGAGCGAATGTGGGGCTTGATCCCAGGATCCAGGGATCATGATCTGAGCCCAAGGCAGATGCTTATCCAGCTGAGCCACCCAGGTGCCCCCATATAGGCATGTTTTAAACCACTTGGCGCTTTAGTGTTTCTAACTGTAAGATGAGAATATTAACAGCATTTACCTCTTAGGTTTGTTTTATGGATTAAATGACTTAACATATATGTAAAGTACATTTCGTAAATGTTATTTAACAATCAAGAAAAGGCTCTGAAATACACCGATTTGATCCCATAAGAATATTGTTATGTATAGTTATTAAAAATGAGGACCTGGAAGTTTAGAAACATTAGGTGCATCAGTGGTAGAACCAGAATTTTTTAAAACTAATCTCCACACTCAACATGGGGCTTGAACTCAAGATCCAAGGTTAAGAGTCACGTGCTCTGCCACTGAGCCAGTCAGGTGCCCCTGAATAAGATGTATCCTTGAGCCCCTGAAGCGCACCTTCTTGTGCTGGAGGGGTCTGTGTGGGCTGTAGAAAGGAAAAAACCAAACAACTAAGTAAACCAATTTTGTCTGTCATGTTATTTGTTGTTCAGCACACATGACAGTGCCAAAATTCATTTGTTAAATGAAAAAAAAATGAGGAATAAGGGACAGAGTAGTAAAAAATGAAGCTCGATATATAGGTGGGGCCCAAATAGTGAAAGACCTTGTCAACCACTCAGAAGGGTTTGGACTTGATCCTGAGCAGAGAAATCACATTAACTGATCTGCATTGAAGAAAACTTAAGCTAGTGGCTGGGTGAAGGACCCGCAGGAGAAGGGCCCACACAACATTACCTCAGTGTAGTGGGAAATGATGGTGCCGAATGAAGAGGGAGGCTGAGAGGATGGAGAGGAGGTGACCTGCACAGAGATTCAGAAATCAGAATCAGCTCGGGGTGCCTGGGTGGCTCAGTGGGTTAAAGCCTCTGCCTTTGGCTCAAGTCATGATCTCAGAGTCCTGGGATCGAGCCCCACATCAGGATCTCTGCTCAGCTGGGAGCCTGCTTCACCGTCTCTCAGCCTGTTTCTCTGCCTACTTGTGATCTCTGTCTGTCAAATAAATAAAATCTTTAAAAAAAAATTAAAAAAAAAAATCAGAACCAGCTTAACACAGACTTGTTTGGTGCAGAGGGCAGGAGAGGAGGGAAAAGTCTGAGGTAACACTGAGGCTTCACTGCGCTGAGTAACTGAAGAGGGATAGCTGACTGGGAAAAATGAAGAAAGGACTTTTCGACACACACAGATTTGGGGCAACTGTGGGATAATGCTCAATCTCTTGACTATACTTGCATTTGGCTTCTCTATATCCCTTAAAGTCAGGAGCTGTGTGGCCCTGTTCAGGGCACTGTAGTAGCAGCTTAGGAAACAATTAGTGTCTAATAGTGGAAAAGAAAGCAGTTAGGTCAATAGAAGAGGAGGGGTGTAGCCTTAGGACCCTGGGGGTCCATGATGGGGTGCACTGAGTACTAAGTTAATTGCTAGCTCTCACTGAAACGTTATTCTTTGACGGCAAAAATACTCATTTTTGCATCTTCTTGCCCACGATGATACCTTGCATATAGCAGATTGTGGGCAACATTAAATAGATGCCACATAGGGAGATTATGAAAGGAAATCCATCATCAAGCCAGGCTTATGGCTGGGAGCTTAGGGGCACTGAACCAGGAGGCAGGGAGTAGGAAGTCCAGGAGGAGCTCCAAATCCCTTTCCATAAAGACAGAAAACAGAGAATAAACTAACAGCCCAGTGGAAACCCTGATACAATGGCATGTGGAAGCTTCTAGGACACCAGTGCTTTTCTAGAGATTAAGCAGGAGGAAAGGCCCTGATTTTTAGACTTGTGAGAAGACCTGGACAAGACAGCAGTTTGGACAACTGGACACCTATCTTTACCAAGAAAAGGACTTTTTAATGCATTGGTGATGTGGTAAAAAATCCAAAAGAGACGAGACTGCATTTCACAAAAGCTTCCACAGGCTGGTATTAATTTTAAAAAGTGACTTAACTTTCTACAGGATATCACTGGATTCTCACAAGAGGGTTCATCATAGTAAAGGACCTGCTACAATTCATTATCTGATGACAGTGCTTTCTGACTTGTCCCTGCAGGTACTGGGAGCAGGAAAGGGTATGCAGAGTCAGGAAGATAGGTGGAGGGTCTCCTAAGCAGATGGGAACTATTGCAAACAAACCATAGGATGGTCTCCGGAGGGGAAGCAACATTAGGGACTTGGATGAGGAAAGATCAAAAGGAAAAGCAGAGCAATAGCTTGGGAGAGGGAACGAAGAGGGAGAGGGAGAACAGCTGTGGAGGAGAAAGTGGAGGATAAAAAAGAGAAAGAAAGGCGTGCGAAAGCAACCGCGTGTGCAGGGCACGAGTTAACGATTACGAAGAAGAGCAGTAAAAAGAACTGGGTTACTGAACGGGGAAGGAGAGACTAGGTTCTCTGGAGATCCCTTCTGCGTTTACACGGACCAGCCCAGCGCTAAGGGGGTGTGGTACTGAGCTCAGAGCCGTGTGGAGCGAGGCGATCGCGGTGGGGGCGCCGCCCAATCCCTTCTAGCAGTGGAAGGCCAGGGAAACGTAGCGACTGACAGGCAAGCGGGCAGGGAGGCTGGCAGGGCGGAGGCGGAGCGAGGGCGCCGATGGGCGGGACGGCGGAGGGCGTGGGGAGGACAAGGCGACGCTGACTACAGGCGGCGCTAGGACCCGCGGGCGTCCCGCCGGCTCCCGGGAGGTTGATAAAGCGGCGGCGGCGTTTGACGTCAGTGGGGAGTTAATTTTAAATCGGTACAAGATGGCGGAGGGGGCCGAGGCAGCGCGGAGGCAGCAGCCGCACCAGGGGCTGCGGCGGCGGCGGGGGACCAGCGACCCAAGCACCGGGGTTAACCACGTCTCGTCCACGACCTTCCTAGGTACGCGCCGGCGGGGCGGAGGCCGCAGGGCCCGGGTGGGGACAAGGCGCGGGCCGCTCGGACCCGCGGGCACCGGCTGCAGGCGGTGGGGTCGTCGGCCCCGGCTGGTTCAGCTCTCCTCCCGCCGCCTCGTCTGACTGCCGCCGGGCCTAGCCCCCGCCGCGCCCCGACCTTCCGCGGCGCGCGGCCTGAAAGGGCGTCCCTGGAGCAGCGGCTCCCGCTGCTGTCGGGTGAACGGGCTGCGAGCGCATCTGCGCCCGGCCCGGCCCCCTGCCCTCCCGCCGCGTGGCTGCCGTCGCGTCCGCCCCGACCTGAGGGGGCGGCCTTGAGCTGGGGCCGCAGACCTGGGGCGCGGGGAGGTCGGTGGCGCCGCGGCTGGGTGTTGGGAGAGTTCCGGACGCCGCAGGGCGATGTCTCCTGGCGGGCACTCTGCTCTCTGTCCTTCTGTCAGAAAGGGAGGCAACGGTGGCCGGGGCTTTATGAACCCCACTGAGGAGGAGGACGCGGAGCGCGCGGGGGGAGCAGACACCTCGCTGCCAGGTCGGAAAGCTCTCCAGACACTCTCCCAGGAGGGAATCGCAGTCCGCAGGCCAGGGCTGTGCCCCGGGGCTCGGGTTCTGGGGCTCCTCGGCCCCCAAACCTATTGGCGCGGGTTTCGCGTGGCTAGGATGCAAGTCCAGATTTAGTTGTTAAACTAGGGTTGCGAACAGTTTACTAGTCACTTAGACGGTATAGTAAGGCCCGATCAGACTCTCAAGTGTCTGGGGTGTGAAGTCACCTGATCCTTCGCTCCCCGGTTTTGCGGAATGTGAGCTGCTACTGTACGTGTACAAGGAGCGCCCCTGCCCTCTCCAAGACGCGTTTGCTTTGGCAGCGGAGTGTTGTGTGTCCCTCTCATAACACCCCTATTTTTAGGAGTTCAGCATTTGATCTTTCGCGCTGGTGTGAACTGAACGCATGTAATCCTGATTGAGAATTTTGATAGTACTTAAAGGCATAAAGTTTTTCAAAGGCTTATAAACAGTAAAAGCTTACAGTTAGGTAAGTACGGCCATGGAATACGTAAGAGTTTATAAACGACACTAAACGTAAATTTGTGGTCTTCAGATTCCTCTTTCCACAGTCTGATAAAGGTTTTGTGAGATGAAATGTGAAACATTTTGATAAGGTGTTATCCGTGAAGACTAACTTCAGTTAGAAAAGTTTATGTGAAATACATTTCATCATTCATGGTAACCTTTGGATGTGCTGAACATATGTCAGAGGTGATGACAGACTAGAGTTTTGATACAGGATAAAGAACAGGAAATAAAGCTTATTTTATTAGTGCCTGCCAACAAAAGTACTTGACAGAACTGTTTGCATAGAAACACACACACACACACCCCCCACCCCACACAACACAACACAACACAACACACCACACCACACCACCAGAGAAGAGAGGTTTTGCCTTAGATCTCTTCTGGTTGGAATCCTCAAGTAATTAGTTTTGGAATGCTGATGGATTGATTTGGATCTTTTGGACCCTAGGGGTGTGTGTGTGTGTTGTGTGTGTGTTTGCTCTTGAACTTACTTATATATATTTTAACGTAATCATTTTAGATGTAGTTTCAAAGTGGTTTTGTTTTGTTTTTTTAAGATTTTATTTGTTTATTTGACAGAGATCGTAAGTAGACAGGCAGGCAGAGAGAGAGGGGGAAGCAGGCTCCCTGCTCCATCCCAGGACCCTGAGTTAATGACCCTAGCTGAAGGCAGAGGCTTAACCCACTGAGCCACCCAGGCACCCCTCAGAGTGTTTTATATACTTGCCTTATTAGGAGAAGCAACTTCATGATTTGATTATGGTTATGAACATAATTTTTATTTTGTGGTACATTGAGAAGAGATGGGATTCTTAAGAGTTGATAAATAGGGCCCACCATTTATTAAACATTCTGTCTGCTACTCAGATTTTTGTGTGTTATGTTTTCCCCCCACTCTTGGAGGTAGCCCTTTCCTTGATAACCATACCTATCAAATGACTGCCTAAAACCTTTTCATTTGCTCTCTAGTCACTCAGTACAGCATTAAAATCCCAATAAAACTTCTTAAGATTTGTGTTTAGTCAGAGCAAACAGGCTGTGAATGAGTAGGAACTCAGCTATATTTGAGTGTGTATAAGAAACTCTTTGTCTCCCTCTGCTTTCTGAGTAAGTAAACTTGAAGAATTGAGTTGGGGTGAGTCAGGTGCCATAGTAGTTTAGTCTTAGGAAGGTGCTGTGTGTCTCTTAAGAGAAATGCTTACTTTCTTTAGGAATGTAGGGTCTTTATAAAGCATTATGTAATCTTGTACTTTAATGACTTTGTAGGATTAAATCTCTTGGAAATTCTTTATTTGGGGAAGAAGGAGCTGTTTTACATACAGTAAAGATGTATTTATCGTAGGGAAAATAAACGGTGAGTTAAAATGAGATTCTGGCTTTAAGTTGGGTGCAGCTATTTTGGGATTCAATTTTAGTTTGCCACTGTGTTTTAACTTTAGGATAAAGTTTTTAAATATCCATAGATGAAAGTAACTTTCTTGAAATTGTTTAGAAAGTTTTCCAAAATTGTGCTTTTTCCATCTGTCTGATACTAAGCAGTTGTTAAAGAGTACCTGTCACCTCATTCCATGCTGTAGTTCAAGGCATATTTTTACAGTTTTGATACTTTTTAGCAAGATGCATTTAAAAAATTTGTTTATGCTCAGTTGGAAGACCTATTTGACACACAGTTGTAAGCAAAAGCTCCCCAAGATATGTGTTGGCAGTCATCCTCCAAGCATATGACCCACCAGTATACATCCGAAGGGTCTCATGACTCAGGTTTTATTAGACAGTAATAAATGATCTTTTCCCAACAATAGCTAGCTCCCTCAAGGTCCTGGAAACCTTGCTTCCAAAATTCCTTAGAGACTTACACTATCCCTAACTCCCTGCCAAATTGGAAGTATGTAATGGGCTATACTCCTCGATTCCCCAGTGCAGCTTTTTCTGCCATGGGTTCTGTCCTTGTGATTTTTTTTTTTTTTTAAATAAAAGATATTTATTTATTTATTTGACAGACAGAGATCACAAGTAGGCAGGGAGGCAGGCAGAGAGGGAGAGGGGAAAGCAGGCTCCCTGGAATCATGACCTGAGCTGAAGGCAGAGGTTTAACCCACTGAGCTACCCAGGCGCCCCATGCCCGTATGCTTTAATAAAATCACCGTTTTGCACCAAAGATGTCTCAAGAATTCTTTCTTGGGCATCTGGCTTCGAACCCTAACGTTCTTCTCTTTATCACTCACTACCCATCCTATAGAAAGAATGGTTGAGTGCTTTCTTATCACATACATAATTAGAAATGTCTTGGTAAAACTGTTGAATGAGTGATGTCTGAAACCATACTAATGAGAAGCTGGGGCAGTTATAAGTAAAGCTAGAGCGAGTTACTAAATGGAGTGGGAAATTTTAAAGTAAGAAGGGAAAACGTAGATGTAGAAAGAAGAATTCATGAAGTAGAACAATTCTGCTTGTTAATGACATTGAGAAGTACGTAGTACAAAGCCAAGGTAACTATTACAAATGATTTTTTAAGTTATTGGTAATCATATCTCCGTGTGTTTAGGTGTACACATATTTGCTAAACTTAGGTAGATTTTTTAAAATGTGTACTTAATTAAGTAGCCATCCTCACTATCTACTGTGGGACAGATGGCTATAGGTAGTTGATTTTATGGGCAGATGATATCTATTAGAAGCAACTGTTAAGTCACAAAAGACTAACATATATGTACTTTGTTTTCCCAAGGAGATAGTATGCGCTTTTGACTTGGGGTTTAGTTTTCTGGCCAGTACAAGTAGGATTTAGCGGATTCCTTGTTAATGAACCAGCTTAATGAAAATTATTCATACAAATTATATTTTTGTTTATGCTCTAAGTTAGAATAACCAGTAATTCTAATAGCTTGGTGAGCTGTGTAAATTTATGAAAGATGCTTGTCAAGGATCTATAGTACATTTCCTCTTTTTATTGTGGGGGCAATGTTTTTTTAATTATAGAGAAGTCAAGATAGTGCAATGGGAAAGAATGAGGAAAGGAATCAAAAGCTGAGTGAATAAACTCTCTGAGCCTTGAAGCCCCTCACATATAGCAGTGATAGTAATACTGTAATAGGACTGTTGTGGGAAAGAAGTGAGATAGGTACAGATGTTTTATAAATTGTAAAGCTGTCTGTGTGTAAGAGACTGTAATGCTTATGTAAGAATGTGCCTATTTGACAACTTACGCTATTATATGTATATATGTGCATATTTCCTGTCAGTTTCTTCTAATGTTTTTCCCTGCTGTGTAGATAGAGGTTTAGTTTGGGCAAGGGTGGCGGGTAAATTTTTAACTTTACCTGTAGAATGCTCATAATGTGTTCCTGATGAGGGGTATTGCGAGTATTAAATGTGATGAAAGTGCTTAACCCAATGGCAGACATTCTGTTGATGGTAGTATTACTATAATGTGTCATTGTTTTGAACGAAAAGTTAAATTTCAGAATATGTGACCTGAAAAACCTTTGTTTGGTTTTTATAAGATAAAAATATACATTCATACTTCTCAGCTGTCTTTATTTCAATAAACTTGCACTTTAGAGAATCAATCATAGCAAAATAGTCTTCTGAAATTGTTTATTTCCAGTATAGGATTCAATATGAAGTACTTTCTTAAGGTCATGGCACTTTTCACGTAGAGTGCATTTACCTTTCAGGTAGTAAATGTGCAGAATCTTACTGGAGTCTGTTTTGTACAAAAATGCCTAAAGAATGATTGACTTGAAAGTACACAAATTGTACACAAATTGTGAATCCCATTAAAAGCTTTTTTTCCCCTTACATGTAATCATTTAGTGTCATGAATAGTGACTAGGATATACTTTAACTTCTGAATTCTGTGAACTTATTTTGATCTTCAGAATGGATTTTGAATGGAGGGCTGGATTTTAATAT